AGGTTGCCGGAGCCCGGGGTATCGGGCGTGCGCGCCCTGGGTGGTGTCCCCCAGCCTGCGGAATGGATAATGAGGCTTTTCTCCGCAGCAACAGCATCACGAGTTTCAGTTCCCAGGAGCCCGCCGCCGCCGCCGCCGCCACGACATGAGTCAGGCTTTCTTCCTCTGCGCGCGGCGGAGCCCTGCTCCTGGACCTCGCCGCTCTTGTCCCCTCGGAGAATGATGCCCTAGCGCCGGGAGCTCCTCACCATAGGTGCTGCCTTTTGTGCAGTGCAGCTGTGGCTGCCGTGCGGACCCCTCGGCCCTCGCCCTTCAGCTGGCAGGGGCCAGGCAGCCACGCAGACACTGCAGCTGTTTGCAGTTAACTGCCTAAGCTCCTGCGGGGTGGGCTCTGAGATGGAATGCTTGGCAAACGTCCTTACCTGGAGGGAAGAAGCCGCCGGCTCGGGGAGCTAACTGACCTCAACAGGTGGAGCTTCTCTCCAGCAGGGGTGTCTTGTCTTTTCATTGTCCAGGCTGTAGCCCCCGCCGGTTTGACTTAAAAGACTAAGTGGCCTAGGCAGGGTGGCAACACGAGTGCTATGATAAGTGAAGACTACCTTTTAGGAAAAAGAACCATCGGTAATTCTAGTTTAAATAAAAATAAAAAAAATTAAAAACCTGCATGGGTCTGAACGTATATCTACAGAAACAATGTTACCTTTGGAGGCAATTTACTAGAAGTTGCTTCCCTGGCATTAACATGTTAAAACGTTCTACATATAAGCATTTTTCACTACTAAGCGAAAATGTGTTTCTTGCCCAGGAATTAAAAAACAACAAAGTAATATGGCAAACCCTAGAGAGAAATTTTATTTTTTTTAACTTACTCTAAGTTGGGGGCTACACCTTTATAGTTAGACATGATTCTGGAACTTTTGCAGACTGACAGATCTACAATCCTCCTTGAGGAGCTTGTTCAAGTATAAACGGCTGTAGTCTTGTGCAGAGTTTGGACAGATGTCTAGTTATCAAATCAACATGTTACCTTTAGGTTTCTCTAAACTTTACCCCTGATTCCATCTCTCAAAAATTCATGTCACCATTCTTTTATATTATTGAATAGAAATGCACCCTCAATATCCCATGTATATCCTGTATCAAAACTATGATACGTTGATTTTTTTTAATGTTCCCTCCCACTAAACACAAAAAGGACTGCATTTTTTTTTTTTTTTTTTTTACTTTAAATTGCTAATGTGGAGCTCTGTGCTAGGTACAGAATTTAGATGCTCAGAAATAGTGAAAGTGATATATAATAAAAATCAAATACGTTTGAAAAGATGGTACTTGTTTTGTGATATTCATGAATATGTAATAAAAATCAAATTTGGAAAGATTGTACTTGTTTTGTGATATTAATATGTGAATGATTGTATTTTTATATAACTATGACCATTTGTATCTTTTTTACTACCCCAAAAGCTTTTGTTTCAGTGATATACCTGTAATGTTTGCCATCCATTGTTGAAATGCAAATCTGACATGCTTTTTCAACTGTTTTTGAACGGAAAATAGAAACTATCCTAACCAATTGCAACTTCGGTGGAATGTAGATGGGCAAAATGTGTTTCTTTGGACTGCAGGGTGAAAGAGAATGCTCTTGATCTCTCAAAATGTTGCCTTAGGTCAGAGTTTTAAATTACCCCAAACAACAGCTCAACACTCTTTGGGGCACCTAAATACCCTCTATGATTCTGCTGATATGGTTAGAAGCAGAAGAAACACATATAATGAAGTTTTACGCAAAGTTGAAAGAATGAATTATTGAATAATCCTATAAAAGCAGATACTTGTTCTAATAACCAGGAGTAAAAAGGGGTGTTTTGGGCTGTGTTGATGTAGGAATATTATTTCTTTTAAAGGAGTTATGTAAAACTTTTCCATGATAACATAAGACATAAGAAAATACGGTCTTTTCAAATGTTTTTCATTTTTTGTCTGCCATATCATTTTCAAATCCCTATTTTAGCTGCATCACATTCCCTTAAGATATAAAGAGCAACTCTGCAATTATGGAAACCTGAGTTTGAAAAAAAGGGCTCTTTGTGTGTGCATGTGTGTCTTTCCCCAACTCTTCTCTCTAGTTGCCAACATTTCTATACCAGCAATACATAATACAAGTACATTAAAACAAGCAGAAGCACTTAAGCACAGGTGTTATCATGTTACTACCATTTAATTTATAAATTCTGGACTTTTTTTACATTAACATTAAATGCATACTGCCCATGTGTAATGAAGTCATAAATCCTTTGAACACAGTACTTAGAGTTATCCTTTGCCTTCTTAAAGACTGAATTTCACCTATTGGTTGCATTCTGAAGGTGTAGCCCTGAATTACTCTCTTATTGACTAAGAGATTAATGTGTAGTGCAGTGTTTACTTAAATCTAGTTATTGCGACATTGCAAACTAACGTAGATCTGGTTATGTTTAATGTTTTTCTACCATAAAATAGAAAATTTGCTGAACATTATAATTTACCTAGGTGTGAGAACTGTGAAATAGGTATTTAAAGCCAAGGAATTCTCCAGAAGTAAAGCCCTCAAAGAGCAGGAAGGAAATATACTCAGAATGACTGTGAGTGGCAAAGATAGATATTAAAGAGAAATGTGTACAGAAAATATGCTACTGTTCCCCTCCAGGAATTATTCTGGCTAACCAGTGCTTCAGTCGTGCACTATTACTTATCTGGAACTTTTAAATGTCATCTGCAAAAAAGATCAGATTTTTAAACATGTTAAAGAACAAAAATTCAATCAAGTAACTTTGAAGATCTAATTTGTCTTTATTGAGCAATTCATAAATCAGGCAGCATCCAACCTAGCAAGTAGAGAGGTACTCCAAGAAGCTGTACAATATGGAAGGTTTTTATAGGCAGAAACTGAGTGGGACAAAGTTATTAGCAGAAGAAAAGACAGCATTGTTTAA